CTTCTTTTTAGATTTGATTCTTTACCCCATATGTTTACTACATCAGCCTCAAAGGCCTGTACCTAACAGTAATAATTATTGACCAAACTCAACAACGATTTTGGTAAGACAATTTACATTTTACGTTATACAATAGTCATATGCACATATTCCTAATTTTTATGTTTTTTCACTTTATTCCAAATCGGCTTCTATATTCTCATACAATTGCCAACCCCAATCCCTGCTGACGAGTCCATGAAGGACGAAACGCCGCGTACAGGGATACTGAATTTTACACACATGACTATCTCCTTCTCTCGCTTTATATATTTTACATGCCTCCATACAAGCTTTTTAGTACAGCGCGATCATACTCTTTGGGTCTGATCAAATTTTTTACACCACAGAACAGGATATTTTCCGTTACAATTTCACACACGCATCTCCAATTTTATGTTCCACAAGTGTACACTTACACTTATATTTCTTAGGTTCACATTTATACATATACAAGTGAGTTTTTTATCTTTTATTTTCAGTTGTATTAAATACAACATTTTTTCACAAGCATACATTGTGCGAACAACACGAGGCCATCACACTATCATATTTCACACTACATTTTTACTCCGCCTGCGCATGCGCAGTGCGGAGTCTAAAAATGCCTGAGTCTGTTGTCGGTTGTCGTCAGTGTCACAAACAGGCTCCTTGATAAATGTGTACATTCCATGATATTTAGATACTTTCTATTGACATTTGTGGATAATGTTATACGATTTGGCAGCGCAATGCGCATGCTTACAGCTCTGCTTACAGTATTTTTCTAAACTGCGAACTGCGAAACGGTCTTGTGCGATGAAAAATACTAAACGATGAAAAATACTAAAAAGATGAATGTCAAGACAAAGCTTCCAGACTCAACTGAGGTAAGGGATACTAAACATTCTAATTTTGGTAGTACATGCTGCATTTTGGCAACAAGAAATTCTTTAAAGTCATAAATATAAATAAAAATATTCACTCCTACTGTATGTCGTAATGTCGATCTTATATTCTTGACTAGCAAAATACAGGGTGTATCAAAAAAAACGCAACCTCGGAATTTCCTAAGAAATCAATTTGCAATTCTTAAGCATAAAAGATTTTAGGCCCCTGGCAATTGAAATCGAATTGCTAATAGATCATTTGTGCATTAAATAAATGCATAAATTTTTCTTTATGCACTCGCGTGTGCAGTAATTTTGACAGTTGTGCTATTTTAAATACCCAGGCGCCTGAAATCATTTGTCTTTATAACAATGTCGATTTCTTGGGAAATTCCGAGGTTGCGTTTTTTTTTATACACCCTGTATATTCTTGTGTGAAAGGTCCCTACAATGTTCTGAAGAGTTTAGGCTATGTAGTGTTGAGGCTATCGGGTTATTAAATATATTTCAATGTTTTGAAGAGTTTAGGAAATGTAGTATTGAAGCTGTCGTGTTTATAATTTACTATACACGTTTAGTACGCAACTACCGGAAACGGCAGCCATGTGGGGCAATTGATAAAACTAGAATAGTGAAGCGAATAGTGCGAATAGTCGACGAATAGTGCGAATAGTCCGCGAATAGTCGACGAATAGTGCGAATAGTCCGCGAATAGTCGACGAATAGTGCGAATAGTCCGCGAATAGTCGACGAATAGTGCGAATAGTCCGCGAATAGTCGACGAATAGTACGAATAGTCCACGAATAGTGCAATAGAGACTTTGCAAGGCTTTCCACCGTGCTGTAGAACTAAATTTACCGAAGCGGGGGGTGGGGCTCTATTGACAAACATGAAATCGTGAAAACATTCGTTGATGTCAATGACGTCATACGTAATCGGTAAAAATTACGGGACCACTGAGTTTTAACAAATATTTAACAGGAAGTAGAATGACAATCAGTGGCGCCGTGGGACCCATGTTTTTTTTTTGGGGGGGGGGCAAGGGCAGTACTTTTCCGACAAACCGAAAAATTTTTCCGACAAACCAAAAAGTTTTCCGGACGACAACATTTTAAATCTTCCCCCCCCCGTCGACAACTTTGACAATTTCCGACAGCCTTGACAATTTTCCGACAATTTCCGGCAGCAGTGGCAATTTTACGACGGGTGTCAACAATAGGGGAGGGCCATGCCCCCCCCGGCCACGGCGCCACTGATGACAATCACTAGACGTATGACGTCATTGACGTACGTCGACGAATGTTTTCACGATTTCATGTTTGTCAACAGAGCCCCCCCCCGGTAAATTTAGTTCTACAGCACTGCTGCAAAGCCTTGCAAAGTCTCTATTGCACTATTCGTACTATTCGTCGCCTATTCGTACTATTCGTCGACTATTCGCAGACTATTCGTACTATTCGTCGACTATTCGCGGACTATTCGCACTATTCGTCGACTATTCGCGGACTATTCGCACTATTCGTCGACTATTCGCGGACTATTCGTCGACTATTCGCACTATTCGCTTCACTATTCTAGTTTTATCAATTGCCGCCATGTGGTAGTATTAAGACAAAGAATCTCATTTTTTACTGAATTTCGCACATTCTTTTAATTCTCAAGGGATTTGTTGCAAGACAAGAATATAATCTATGATATACAGGGTGTCTCAAAAAAACCCAAAATCATTGAAATAACGTATTGTTCGAATTTCAATGCCGTAACACAAAGGATTTTGACAGGGTGATTAATTTGTTTTAAAAAATTAAAATATCTTTGTAAAGTGAACGTTGGTTTGCTCATGGGAATTTAAAAATGCTTCGTAAATTCGTGGGTTTAGTACTTTATGCCTGACATAACAAGTTTACGCTGAGTATTACCATTCATTATAACAGTTATGTCAATCTTTTATGCACTCGTGGGATTAACTTAGTGCTAGGGCATTGAATATCGAACAATACGTCAATTTCAATGATTTTGGTTTTTTTTTGAGACACCCTGTATAGTCATGTTAACAAATAACAGAAACGTCAGCTTCTTGAACTCACAGCCAGCTTGGGTTTGCTTGCTTTGCTCTTTCTACTGCCCTTGTGTGTTAATAGATACTGTGTGTTGTGTAATGTATTTAATTCAACCCTACTAGGACTCTGGGCAGAATACCTACCAAGCCACTCAAACATGCTTTTTGGGCCTCTATTATTACAATGATGGGCCAAACAGAATTGGTGTGTCAGAATTAATATTCTATTTCTGTCTCTTATAGGTTATGGCACTTTCTTATGAAAATTCAAAGAAGTGTGTAAAGGGTCTGTAAATGCCATTGCTCCTTCCCTTACGAAAAAATCCTATAGGAATTCCTATAGGAAATCCTATAGGAATTCCTATAGGAATTCCTATTAGATTTTGGCCCAATTTCCTATAGGAATTCCTATAGGATCCTATAGGAATTCCTATAGGATCCTATACGAATTCCTATAGGATCCTATAGGAATTCGTATAGGATCCTATAGGAATTCCTATAAGATCCTATAGGAATTCCTATAGGATCCTATAGGAATTCCTATTAGATTTTGGCCCAATTTCCTATAGGAATTCCTATTAGATTTTGGCCCAATTTCCTATAGGAATTCCTGTAGGATCCTATAGGAAATTGGGCCAAAATCTAATAGGAATTCCTATAGGAATAGGAATTCCTTAGATTTACATAGAAATTCATATTGGATCCATAGATATCTTATATATCATATAGAAATTCTTGCATAATCCTCTAAATCAAACTGCCTAAAAGAGTTATTTACCAAGGTGAAGGAAAAATAGAAACTAGTGAAAAAAATTTATTACAGATAAAAATGTGGCAAATATAACAGGCTATATTTACATATAACATACTAATTTAGGCTATTTATCTTTTTAACTTATGACATTTTATTGTTCTCAGTTTAAGAAATGTTTCTTATATTTTCTTACTTTTAGAAAATTTTTAGACATAAA